ATAGACTCAGACGTCAAACCTAATTAAAACGTTCAATAGACAAGTATCGAAACGTAGAAAAAGCTTTTCACTGGGGCAATAGATGTATCCAGGCAGAACTTGAGATATCATGTCACACCATCAACAGTGTCATTCAAAACGTCGTTATCAAATATATTCCAGTATGTTACTATGTGAATAGTTTCTATCTACACTCTTTTTACATGTAAAGGCTTTTTTTGTGTTGTATAGTATATGTTTTGGGCAAAAGACATATAATGTAATGATCTGAGTTGAACAATGGCGATCTCCTTCGAGTTTCGTATACATCAGTATCAATGACAAATACCAAGCCTGGTGTTGCATCCTAATGTGTTGTGAAGTTAACAAGCTTTTGATAACCAAGAGTTTTGAGAAAACTTTGCCCACAAGTAGTGAAATCACCACATGTTATCGACAGGGAACTACGTAGCATAGAGGTTGTGAATTCCACGAATATATCAGAGAAACTAGATAATTTGAAGTATATGTAACTCGAAATGCACTAATGGGTATTGATGAAGGTAGCTACTCCACCTTCACTTTTCTTAGTAGAGTTACATCGATTCTGACCAAAGATTTTGTAACCATTCAGAGAAATCAAATTGTCATCATAAAGTCCTAGTAACCAAGTTTCTTGCAGTATAATTACTTCAGTGTTACGGTACACATCGGAGAATATAAGAGATTGTAAGTAATCTACTTTTTCCTACAGTGACCTCCAGTTGGTGCATATAATTTCAGGTAAAGTCATTTAAGATAAGGTTATTTGCTTCAAAGCACGTTACCATCCACCGTGATGCTTTTTCCTCATCTTATGTGATACTGGTATCTCAGAAGGCTAAAAACGTTTTAAAAAATGTGCGTGTATATATAATGTGATCAGAGGACATAGTCTATTGATTAAAACAAACAAATATGTCGAGAGAACTTTGATGCAATATGTCAGATGGAAAATTGAGTAGCTGACATATTCAAGCTATCCGCTTGTTGACAACAATGTAATAGGGTAAGAAACAATAGAGGAGATTCAAAATTTAGTTATACGATGTCAACTTTCGGTGTCCTCAAAGTAAAAAAAAACTTTTTATTTGAATTTATTCCAAGAGTTACTACTTGGTTGTATTTTTCATTTCTTTTCTGGTTCATTCTCTATTCTTTATGCACCAATTTTATACAATATACAAGATAAAACATGACTTTATTTCCTTCCAATAAACTGTAGTTTATTTATCGATGTCATGTGTCAAGTATATCACTTTAATATTATTACTTCTATTATACCGTCGTTGGTTAGACCGAATTGATCAGTCTCTATCCAGTTGATGTGTCCCAAATAGGACAAAATGCGCATCCTGGATTCCACTGTTAGCCACTATCCTTCATGAATATAATTAAAACATAGGTAATAACGAAGCATCTGCACAGAAGTTCACATGTCAATAGAGACCGATCAATTCACTTCAATCAACGATGGTATAGCACAAGCAATATTACTAAAAATTATACCCATCACACAAGAAGTGGTTATCGTGGTTCGGTAGTGTAGTGGATAATGCTCTGGCTTTTGAATCAATTGGTCTCCAGTTAGAATCCCAGTAGAGACGACGTCACTCACTGAAAGGCAGGTAAATTCAGTTGAGGAAGTCCAAAAACAAATTTCTAAGCTTGGAGAATATCAAATAATTATCAATGTGTTGTTATGCCCAAAAATACTTCTATCTTCGTTTTATCATCCTGTCAACTTTATAGGTTCATTAGACTGACAGTGTTGAAAAGGAGATCAATTGATACATCAATCTCAACAAATTAGAAACAGGGTGCACATTAAAACGTATGAGTGAATATAATGGAAAGCTATTTGAAGTATACAATTTTATTCATCATGATCTATCTATCTCTAGGTTGACAACGATATTAGAAGTGAATGTAATTCTTGTTGTTTACGTAGGTGACAGCACTGATTTATAACTATTGTGACGGCTTTCAAACTATTAAGATTACTCAGTAATAGTACATTTCACTAATTCAGAAATCATACCTAGTGATATTGGTCGACTGGTTTCCAATGTGAAACTTGTTGATAACAACAGATGAACAGTTGAAAAACTAATCAGCTTTGAGAAATGTCAATGTGGACAGTGGAATTTTTGGATCATTTGCAAATTGGTCAAGCTACTTAAGTATAACAATGTAAGGTTCAATTTGTTGTATATAGAAAAATACTTAGAACACCATCATCAACTAATGAATTAACCACTCACATGTCATAATTCCATTGTGGAAGGTTGTTTCCCAGGAAATAAAGTAAACGGATTGTTTATTTCATTAGTTATTGGGGTGGCCTTTAAAGTCACTCAATTTTCTTTGTAATGGATGCTGTAATTTTTCCTTCGAAAGATCCACAGTTGAAAGTGTTCACTATGAATACGATGTTTTTATTTTCCAGCTTATAAGTCTCCAAGGTTGACTGAACGGAGTTGACTAGCCACTACTAGTATGCAAGCTCCAGTGCAGATGCCTCGATACTGTCCATATTTTCAGTTTCAAAAAAATACTATTGATGAATACAAGTCATAGTATTAAAACTATACTATATCCATCGCTATCGTGACTTACTGGCCCGGTGGGTAACACTAAGACGTTCTCACTTATTGGTCCTAAATTTCAGTCTCAGTATCACTCATTGAGAAGCAGGTAAATGCAGCTGATGCTACCCAAATACGTAGAAAAATGTGTGTCGTCGATTCCACTGTTAGATATTATCCACCGGTAGTAGTGTAGTGAGCAGTACTGATCAGAATGGATATAAGTAGTATATGTTGAGAGGGAGGTGGAAATCATAGCCAATTACCAGCAATGGGTAAAGATTCTCCTCAGAGAAGTACAATATAGAAAGACTAAAGCATGCACTGGATTCAAAACTAGGACTCGAACAGGCTGGCTTCAGAAAGTACAAATCATGTGCCAAGCAAATTGCAACGCTACACTGCGCATCATCATAGAACAGAGTATAGAATGGCAGTCAACTCTACACCTCAACTTCATCCACTTTGAGAAGGCCTTTGACAGCGTCAACCGAGAGGTAATTTGGAAACTGCTTCAATACTACGGAATACCACAAACTTTATTAGCCTCATTCAACAACTATATCAAGACGCCACATGCCAAGTAATTCACAATGGGAAGCTCAGTGATGCTTTTGAAGTGAAGACAGGAGTGAAACAAGGTTGTCTACTATCCCCCATGATATTCCTGGTTGTAGTGGACTTGATCATGCAACAAACAGTGGGGAGCGAGAAGAGGGGCATAATCTGGACAGCGGTAAAGATACTAGAAGATTTGGATTTCGTCAACGATTTATGCTTAATATCGCACAAACTGGAAGATCTACAGGCGAAAACTAACAAGTTGACAGAAAACGTGAGGGCACAGAAGACAGGACTTCAAGTGAATCTAGAGAAGACACAGGTGATGAAGATACCACCACCACCAACACCACCACCAACAACAACAACTAGATACAATCACCACCAATAACAGAAACTTAAAGGAAGCAGCCTCTTTCACCTATGAAGGAGGCAGCATCATTTCAACTACACGAGGCACAAGCACAGACGAGGATGTCAAAATCAGCATCGAAAGACAGCAGGATAGGCATTCACTGATTAATGTGAAATAATCAGTGTGCAGATCTACTTCACTCCACTCAGCACAAAGCGTGAACAACATCCTGATTTTCAACACCAATTCAGTGAAGTCAGTGCTTCTATATGATGGTTGAGAAACTTAGAGTGTCACGAAAAGCATTTCCAACAAACTATAGACATTCTTCATCAACAACTGCCACCTACTCTGACTCGATATTGTAGATCACATGAGGTGGCGAGAAAGAATAAGCAAGAAGGAACTTTGGCCGGGTAACGAACCAACGAAGGAAGAAGCTATCACCCAAAAAATATGCAGAGGAAGGAATTGGGGATGGATTGGATTGGAGGTAGACTGAGAAGGCCGATTGGGGACATCACGCGTCAAGTCTTCGAGTGGAACCCAAATGGGAAACGACGAGTTGGGCGTGTGAGGTGAGAGTGACATGGAGAAGATCGTGCGAGAAAGAAATGAGAGCTTCTGGGGAGTCGTGGTGACAGGTTCAAAAGATTTCAGAGAAGAGAGTGCACTGGAGACGTGGTACTGAAGCCCTATGTTCTATCAGGAACCCAAGGGATAAATAATGAGACGAAGAACAAATCAAGATAGAAGCAGAAGAGGAAATGAAACACATCTTGCAAATGACTGTCTAAGTGTAAAATGTAGAATATTTGTTGACTGCGTCTCAGTCTTCTAGTTCCCGACAATACTATTACTTTGGTCATAATCCCTATATACACTAGTGGGTGTTCTAAACCCTCGGGGGTTCTTCCGTCACTTTGACTAGGGTCCACCAGTCATCATTCTAGGTTTACTATCTATAATAAAAAGTATAAAAATCAAGTTCTTTTTACTGAAAAAAATTATTATTCAAAACAACCGGAAACCATTAAAATACGACAACAGTTTTCAATTTCTTTTCTTCCAAAAGGAACGAACTACTGGTAGACTATGCAGTAAAAAACATATTTTTAATACTAAGGAACAAAACCTTAGATGTATAATGTAAAGTTCTTGTTTATTGTATTCAGTAAGTGCGTACCTCATTTCTTCAACATTTACAAGAATAAACAAGCACTGAACATTGAACACCTTGAAAATAAACATCGTCACTTTTGTTTCAAAGACTACCATATCAAAATGCGCATAGATTGAAAGGCTAGAGTTTTTATTTAAATAATATTCATTATATAGAATGAAAATGCTTTGGTTTTTTAAGTAAACCGGAAAATAGAGAGAAGAACGGTAACTAGATATATTGATTAAAGTCACTATTATTATTATTATTATTGGTAGTATTATTATTATCCTCATTGATGACCTATCGTTATTGTTTAAATTGGCTTTATTCTTCGATTTGTGCGTGCAACAATTAAGGTAAATAAAACTAACAACACCTAAAATAGAAAAGAGAAAGTGAGAAATATTAACAGAAATATTGAATAAAACATTTAAAGAAAACATTCATGTTATTTAGAAGTAGTATTCATCATGAATCGACATCAGTTAGGGAACAACTGAAAATCTGGGAGCACTGAACAGCTGTCTCGTCCAACTAGTATGGGACTCCTCAGCTATACGCACCCACAACCCGGCTAGGGGTCGAACTCAGGACCTTCAGGTTTCACGGCGGACGCGTTAACCATCCAGCCACTGGATCGGTTTCCGGTGGTTCACAATTTCCAACTTCTGTCCATTTGACAACAACTTAATCCATGGTGAATACTACTTCTAAATTAAAAATCCCCACTCATCTCAAAAATACATTACTGTATAGTGCTCATTAGTGACTTGTTTCAAGATGCATATCATGAAGGTGTAATGATAAGCTGTGACCTGTGGGGTCAACCACTCGGAAGTGAAGTGAATGCTAAGTGAAGACCTTAAGTGATAGTCGCGGTATGTCGTGAATTGACAGGTGCCCAACACTCAATAACATTGAAAGAAACCTTCATCAGTACACATTCATTGAAATTGATGAGTAGCATATGAATATTAGTGAGGAGCGAGAAGATGACGATACTCTGGACCACGGAAAAAAAACAGAAGATTTGGATTTCACCGATGACTTGTGTCTGATGTCACACAAACCTGAACATCTACAGACAAAATTTAACAAGTTGACACAAGAGGAAGTGTAGTGTAGTCTAGGCACAGACACAGACACAGACGAGGATATCAAAGCCAACCAGGATTGGAAAAACAGCAAGATAGGCCTCGCTGCATCAACCTGAAACCAGTGTGCAGATCTACTGCACTCCACTCAGCATGAAGCCTGGACAATATCTGGATTTTCAACACCACTGACAGTCAACTCAGTGCTTCTATGTGATGATTGAGAGACCTGGTGCGTTACGAAAAGCATTCCCAACAAACTACAGATATTCATCAACAACTGCCACCTACACTGTCTGGATAATGAAGCTCAGATGATGAGGCGAGAAAGAATAAGCAACAAGGAACTCTGGCTGGCTGGCTGGCTGGCTGGCTGGCTGGCTGACTGGCTGGCTGGCTGGCTGGCTGGCTGGCTGGCTGGCTGGCTGGCTGGCTGGCTGGCTGGCTGGCTGGCTGGCTGGCTGGCTGGCTGGCTGGCTGGCTGGCTGGCTGGCTGGCTGGCTGGCTGGCTGGCTGGCTGGCTGGCTGGCTGGCTGGCTGGCTGGCTGGCTGGCTGGCTGGCTGGCTGGCTGGCTGGCTGGCTGGCTGGCTGGCTGGCTGGCTGGCTGGCTGGCTGGCTGGCTGGCTGGCTGGCTGGCTGGCTGGCTGGCTGGCTGGCTGGCTGGCTGGCTGGCAAAGAACTAATCAAGAACCTATCGCTCAACAAATATGCACTGGAAGGAAGTGGAGATGGATTGGATTGGGCATACACTGAGAAGGCCTACTGGGGACATCATGTACCAGGCCAGTTGCTCGAGTGGAAGCCAGATGGGAAGCGACGAGTTTGGCTTTGGAGGTGAGGGTGACATAGAGGAGATCGTGTGAGGAAGAACTGAGAGCTTGTGGGCAGTCGTGGAGTCAGGTTGAAAAGATTGCAGAGAACAGAGTAAAATGTCGGCGTGTTACTGAATTTCTATGTTCCACTGGGAACCCAAGGGGCAAATAATAATATAATAATACGTATAGATACTTACCTGAAATCCTAACACTACACATAATATATGAGCAATTATATCAGCATATACTTTAAGATAAGTTTCTATTTTTCGCCAGCATCCAGTGTGTATATTACTGTTTTTCAAAGTGAAATGTTCAGGACAATCGTTATGAATTATGTCTTGACTTTTATTCATTTACAACAACTGACTGGATACTTGAAATCTATAAAATTACAACAGCAAAACAAAAAATGAATAAAAAACAAACTGGTTCAGTCAGAAAATAATTAGTGTACAGTTTGATTTCTAGTTAATAAGCTCAAATGATGTAAAAATTGAGTACGTTTCAAAGGTTCAGTTATCTAAAAAAAACATATTCAATGGTACCCCTACATAGATTCTAATAGCTTTTTTTCCAACCAATGATAAACGAGAATTACATAAAACACTATTTCATTGAGTAAGCATATTGTCAATAAAAACAAGACATATATCAGTTAAGAAGAAATATTCTTTTGTACCGACATCATTATATCAAGCTGTACAGTCCAATATATAACCGGTAAGATGACAGATAACTGCATTAAAAAAGTTGCTCAGTCAATACGCAAAATATACCTACGAATCATATAAAGAACATCTATTAAGATGTACGTTTAATGTACAGATCAGATTTAATGATATGATTTACAATTAGACAGATGATGTCGAAATGCGGTCTCCACTGGACCCTGTTCTAATTGATATCCATATCGCAAAGCTCAAAAATGGGCAACTTGAAGAAATAATCTCCGAACGCTATTTGTATAAAAGGCACATTGGTGACACTTTTAAGAATAACAGAGAAAAAAGTGATTAGATGATACAGAAAACCATAGACACTATCAATTCCCTCTCCTGAATAATCCATGTACACAACAAATAGATCATCACTCACTTGCTCGCCCTTTCATTAAACATAAACAACTTTAAAGACCACTCCATCAACTACTCACACAACCAATCACATTCCTTCATTTCAAAACAACTGAATTCCCACTTGAAATATAAAAACCTCATTGGCTATCCCATCACACCGAACTTCAAAGTCGATCACTAAAGCTACATTCCACATGCATACATAACATCCAATCAAGTCTCAAGATCATCATCATCATCATCCAATGAAATAGTTATCTAACACCAATTAGAACTCTTCAATAAAATGACTCATATTCAAAAATCACTATTCATCATGAAGACTGATACAAAGTGATATGGGAGACAGAGATAAACTAGGCTTCCAATCGATGTTTAGTTCACATTCAATGATATCATTGATAATCAGATGGACGACGTCTCAATGCAATCTCCACTACACCCTGTCCTCACTCACATCTTGATGGCAAAACTCGAGAATGGATAACTTGAAGAAATAATCCCAGAACGCTATTTCTATAAAAGGCACATTGATGACACTTTTCTTATTTATCACGAAACATGTTCATTGGACAACCTGCTAACACGTTTCAATGATTGTCACCCACCCACTGTAGAAGAAGAGTTCAACTCAACCATCCACTCTCGAGATGTAATGCTAAGGAGAAGAGATGATGACTCAAATCAAAGGTCAATCTATCGAAAGCCAACCTGCATCCAACAGTTCACTAACGTCTATAATTCGATACCTCTCAGTTGCAGAAGACAAATCTCATTCACTCACTGTGTTCCACAATCTATGAAATTTGTTCAGAAGACATGGTGGATGTTGACATTGAGACTCTTGGAACAACACCATCGAATGACGGATATCCTAAGAGATTTATTGATAAGAATCAGAAGAAATGAATCACTCCTCATCCTATCACAGTTCATAAGAAAATCTTCATCATGAATTTGAAATTGAAAGAAGACAGTATAGTCGAAATGCTAAATAAACTGTTTGTCAAGGTGTATCAATAATAGCTTGTATGCTGCTTGACTCAGAATGATTTTGTCGAGCCGCCATCTGATTCGACAATGCGTGGAGGACAGAACGAGACGTTAGTCCTGTATTGCACTGGTAGTCACTATCCTTGAATAATAACCATAAAAGAAACAACTGAGAGAGGTGGAAAAGGGAAATGTGTAGTGGTCAAAATGTTTGGTGCATGCATCAAATGGACTTTTTAAGAGTGTTACGTAAAAGTGAAGATGGAATTAGTTTTATAAAGTACTAGTAGGTTAGTTCGCATCCTTAAGGATATCCATCTTGTAAAGTTAAACAACCAATCTGTTTTCTTACAGGGAACAATATAAAATTATTTTTTATTGATTATATATTCCCCTGACTTCACTGAATTAGTGTTGAAAATCAGGATGTTGTTCACGCTTTGTGCTGAGTGGAGTGAAGTAGATCTGCACACTGATTATTTCAGGTTAATGAGTCAATGCCTATCTTGCTGTCTTTCCGATGCTGATTTTGACATCCTCGTCTGTGCTTGTGCCTCGTGTAGTTAAAACGATGCTGCCTCCTTCATAGGTGAAAGAGACTGCTTCCTTTAAGTTTCTGTTATTGATGGTGATTGTATCTAGTTGTTGCTGTTGTTGTTGTTGGTGGTGGTGGTGGTGGTGGTGTTGGTTGGGTGGTATCTTCATCACCTGTGTCTTCTCTAGATTCACTTGAAGTCCTGTCTTCTCTGCCAACTTGTTACTTTTCGTCTGTACATCTTTGAGTTTGTGCGACATTAAACATAAATCGTTGACGAAATCCAAATCTTCTAGTATCTTTACCGCGGTCCAGATTATGCCCCTCTTCTCGCTCCTCATGGTTTGCTGCATGAAAATTATATTTCACCTAAATGAATGTGAACTGATTTATATAAAAGGTAAACCTCAGGCCGCTTTTTTTGCTACATCAATTTAATTGGGGTGTTTTCATTCCTTTCGATAAAGTTTGCACGTAACTGATTCTACACCCTTGTCATTCTGTTCTTATTATGGCTGACGACAGATATTTGTACGCTCGTACCTTCAGTTGTTCTATTGTTCCTACTGACTATTTATTTCTCCTTAGGACAAACATCTTGAAATAGGTAAAACAGATGAACAATATTCAGGAAGTTTTGATGTCAGATAAAGTGATATATAACTTAAAAATAACTTCTTTACTGCTTATTACATTGAGCTGAGTCTGCACTTTGATCGAGGTGAACAGTTTTCACTAATGAGTTTTACCAGAATAAGCTGGATTGACCGATCTTTGTTGGAATATGGGTTCCTGCATAGATGCCTCTATATAGCCTATTTTGTACTTTTGTGTTAATGATCGACAGGAGCCCATATGCCAAAAGTGACCGATCAATTCATTCCGCACAACGGTGGGATAATACGAGCAGCAACATAAAAACTTTACCCTTCGCACAAGAAGTGGCTATCGGTACTGAGTGGTCTAGTGGATAACGCTATGACACTTGAAGTAGTAGGTATGAGGTTCGAGTCCTGCTAGGAATAATATCGCTCACTGAGAGGCAGTTACATCCAGCTGATGAGTCTCAGATGCGGCGAAACGTGCACCCTAAACTTTACTGCTAGCAACTCTTCATCACTGGTATTAAATTGAAATGCTTATTATCGACATCAGATTAGGAAAATGTTGCTAGTTTTCTTTCGGAAATCATCTAATTGTCTGGACAACTGACTGACTTTCTATCTTGTAAAACAATTCACCTACCTAAAGCAACCCTAGATTGCTTGGTGAGTGATAAACAGCAGTTAATTTTCAAACCATGTAACTATTTATGGTAATAGTCAATAGTGGCTGGCAGCGGAATCCAGGATGAGCATTTCGTCCTATTTAGGACTCGTCAGCTGGGTGTACCTGATTCACAGTGAATGGTGCCGTTCGACAAAAACAACAACAACAAGCACCAATTACCATCAGTGGCAGAAATGTGAAGGAAGTTTTCTCTTTCGCCTACCTACCTCCCTACCTACCACCCCACACCTACCTACCTACCCGTTTAGACAGCGTTATTTCCACTACAGGCGGCGGCAACGGCCACCATGTAAACGCCAGAATCGGAAAGACACCAAGACACACCTTCCCTCATTAATCTATGAAGATCAGTGTTGAGATCTACTACACTGCACTACACTACATTTCACTGCACTCAGCATGAAGCGTGAACAAGATCCCGATTTCCAACACTAATATCAGTCAAGTCAGTACATCTATATGACGGTTGAGAGACTTGGCATCTTACGAAAAGCCCTTCCTTCCAAAATACTGCAGGCATACATCACGAACAGCTGCCACCTACGCCCACTCCTTACTGAAGATCAGATCAGATCAGATCAGAAGGCGAGAAAGAATAAGCATGGAAGAAGTGTTGCTTGGCAATCAACCAACCAAGGAAGAAGCAAGAGGCTACTGCCCAACAAATACGCAGAAGAAAAGAGTGGATGTGGATTGGACTGGATTGAACTGGATTGGACATAGATTGAGAAGACGGTTTGGGGACATCATGAGTCAGGTGAGGCCAACATATGGAACCAAAAAGGGAAACGACGAGTTGGGTATGTGAGGCTCACATGGAGGTGAGGGTGTGAGGAAGAAATTAAAGCTTCTGGGCAGTCATGGAGCCAGGTTGAAAAGACTGGAGAGAAAAAAAGTGAAATTTTTGGTGGGAGTAACATCACTCACTGAAAGGCAGTTGTACCTATCTGACGAGCCCGGAACAGGACGAAACGCATATACTGGATATCTTATTGTTAAAAGGTATTCAACCATGATCGTACTTATTGACCATCTGTTATGTAATTCAGAATGTAATCCACAGTGACATTCATATCAGTAACTCATATGGCAACAAAATTGGATCAGTTTACTCCTATAGAATCACAATAAGAAATATACACATACAACTAATACAGAACTTAGAAAAGAAGAAACTTTCATATTTTTAAAACCAAGTATATAACTGTCTGAAGAAGCGACAACATCTAAATATGTGGATGTAAACACTTCAATTCAGTGGTTTGCCATCATTGATTGGTTTAAAATTCAGTATTCATTACAGGCTGGGTAACTGTTGGGTTACAATACAAAAATGATAGAAGTGGGAAAATATGAGCCATTGAACTTTGAACCAGAGGCTAAATGGCTAACAATACTCGCCATGAAACCTGAAATTTCTGAGCTCAACTCCTGATGAGGTTATGGGTGCACACTGCTCAAAAGTTCTACACTAGGATTAAACAGATATCCAACGCTCCTATGTTTTCAAAATGTTTTCTAACTGATATCAGTCAGTGATGAATAATATTTATACGAAAACACAGTATTGTTTACTGGATGACGTTCCAAGCAGAAATCATTGCTCATAATCATATCAAAGTAATAACATGACATCCAGTTTTGTAATATCGACAAGTAGCATCCTTTACATTCAGTGATTGTAAAATTTTCCATATCCTTGAAATAGGTGTTACATCTTTGCTTCATCTTATTGTATGATTAGATGTCCATGCGTGGACAGCAATAGCTGTTTTGCTGTCTAAATTGTTGATCTTTGGCGGTTCATATACCAAAATTGGAACGATACAGAGATTAGCATGCCTCCTGCGATATTTTGTCCGTCAAGGGTGCCTACTCTGTCTATTCTTATTCAAATTTATCATAGATATTCTTATAAAGGTCTTCCTTTCGTCACCTGACTACACAGAGGTTGACCTAATCGGTGGAGAATTTTCGTTAGACCTAGAATATGCAGATGATATAGTCATGTTAGGTGAAGACACTGACAAGATGCAGAGTCTTTTGGACACACTGAGTGGTAATTTGAGAATGTTTTTGATGCTTTCCTCACCACACAAATGCAAACTGTTGCTCCAGGATTGGTCTTCAACGGTACCTCGAATAACAATGAAGAGTGAAGTGGTTGAGTGTGTCAACCAATTCACTTACCCGGGAAGTGAGATCAGCCCTGGTGGGTCAGTGGTCGATGAGACCTCTGCACAAATACAAAAGGCTTAGCTGGCTTTCGCCAACTTACGCCACCTTTGGCGCCGCCGTGATATCCGACTTTGTGTACTGCACAGTAGTCCACTCCGTTCTACTGTATGCCTGTGAAACATGGCTACTGAAGGTGAAAGACAAGAGAAGGCTTCAGGTGTTTGACCACCGTTGCCTTCATAGTATAGGCCGTATTCATTTGGTGGCACAGTATCAGTAACGCAGACGTCAGGTGTAGAGTTTTAGGGAGGGAGAAGTGGTAAGTCAGTTGATGTGGTTGTGAACCTTCATCGACTTAGATGGTTGGGACATGTTACATATGCCTAGTCGCCATCTGCCTCATCACACAATGTTGGCCGATGTAGGTTCAGATTGGAAAAGAGTTCAAGTTAGCCAGACTAAAATATGACGTCAATGTATGTTGGTTTGAGCCAAGTGGGGTGATGCAGACTTGGCGGTTGGGGTTGGCGGGACAAGAGAAACCAGTGGTTCGAGACTGACTGTAGGTGATATGGCTGGGAACGGATATCAGTGGCGCAGATGTATCCAAACACATTATCCTCATCTTACCACGATACCGAATCTCAACATTTTCTCATTCTTCATTTCTCTCTTTGAGTACCTTATATCTCTTTTGACTGAATTTTCTTTTCTTCATCTTCCACTTCACTGTCTTTTTACCTGATGTACCAATATGAACTGTGGCAACTCCGACGGTTACGCAGTACTGCCTGGTCCTGTGTGTATATCAATGGGTGGATGCATGGATGGATGGATGATCTCACTGAGATATATTATTTGAAATTTGGCTACTTTCTTGTACATCAACAGTCTTACTGACCCTTCAGTCATTGCACAGTATGTAACCAATGAAATTACTGCACATAGTTGAGTCAATCACATCCTCGAACTGAAAATGTTGATCTACTAGTGAATTTGTAGATTTGAATAGGATATGAATAGTAACCGCAACAAAGTTAAGAAGAGGTTCAGAGCTTGGATAGTGTTACCACATAAAGACTTCAAAAATTTAGAAAAAAAAAGTCAGTCAGTTCAGTCCATCTACTGACATGCAGCCATACAACAAGATGGGACACAGCAACTCTATTACAGGTCATTATAGTTAAATAGACATACAGAGAGAGACTAATTACTCAATCTATATTCATATAATCAACACAATACGCCCCCCGCCCTCTTTCAAAACACGTATTAGGAATGACGTAACATCTGTTCCGGAGATGTGGAAAAATCTGCTACCAATGAAAGAGAATAATTCTAGTTGACAAGACTACAAAAGTTAAATATCGAAAGGTGTGTGAATTACATTCTCCTACATAGTCCAAGTTTTATTCATATATATCCCTTAAATCGTATGAAGAAACCACATGATTTAAATTCCAGTACAAGGAACTGTAACATAAAAAGCGCTATTGCAACAGTACCTTGGAGTACCTAACAGTAGACTTCAATTCACATAACTACCGTGAATAATCCCTACTACTTATAGTTAGTAAAAGTGAAAATAAATTCGGTATCAACCTTTGTTGAGAGAATTCAGAAAGATCTTCTTGTCTAAGATATGGATACTTTTTCATTCAAATGTACATGTCTCCATAACAGTATCGATGTTCAACTCAATAGACAATAATTCAAACGCAAAATGTTATTGTTGTGATGCCCCAGTTTTGTATAAAACATTGTTATCGATCCGAACATTTTAACGCGTTATTTCCCACATTATTTTTACGCCATGACTAATAGTCTATTTTGCCCTCATTGTAATGCAATCTGCTGATTGGTTAACTTTTACTGTGCGAATTTCTCCAATTGCGGACAAGGTCATTTTTCATGTGTATACTTATTCACGTGTTTTGAATTAAACTATTATTGTATATTCTCGGAGTAATACACTCTCCCATCTGCCAGCTTCGGTCTTCTCTCTATTCGTCCCGGGGTTGCAGCCAATGTCTGTTGCGTACCAAGTTAGCTGTCAGCTAAGCGCGCGTATTATATTCGTTTCGGAATATATACACATACCATTAGCGCTTCGAACCCATAACGGTTATTTACTAGGTTAATGGGTCGCGGTAGCCACTATCAGTGTAACATTTGGTTTTTGAGACAGAACAAATAAACCTCCCTTGGTTATTTGAACCCTCGGGTTTCGGTTTGGTATTAGGTTGACTTGAATTGGAAATGCAGTCAGCAACTTTGTGCATATTCGTGCAACAGCTATTATATGAGGACTGTAGTGGGCACTGTTGACCAGAATGGATATAAGTAGTATGTGTTATGAGGGAGGCAGAAATCATAGGCAATTATCAGTAATGGGTAAAGATTCTCCCCGGAGAAGCACAAGAGACAATATGCGCGTGCAAAGTGTACAATATTTGATGACTACTGTACAAGATGTCAGTAATAGACATTCTTTCCTGTGTCCACATCTTCTCGTTCCCTACAATATCACTACCTGACTACCCAAAGCTGTTTAGGTGGAGCAGTGTTCAAACCCGTAATAGATTGATTGAAAGCAATCTATCGAAACCATAGAGACAAAGTTCCATGATGGAATCGGTATGAGATTAGCAACCGATTACTGCAGTCCTGCAAAACATGAACCTTTGACCAGAACAAAATGAGGCAATTCTTATACATTTAAACAATAAATAACAAATTTGATGATTCACTTACTATTTGGTTCACCTTTATAAATAATATTTCGTTTAAATGATTTAACAGTATCAAAATCACTTCCATTCATAAGACCACAACATTGTAACTATGGTTGAAAAAGCGAAAATTAAGGAAAAACAGAGAAAAAAGTGATTAGATGATACAGAAAACTATAGACACTATCAATTCCCTCTCCTGAATAATCCATGTACACAACAAATAGATCATCACTCACTTGCTCGCCCTTTCATTAAACATAAACAACTTTAAAGACCACTCCATCAACTACTCACACAACCAATCACATTCCTTCATTTCAAAAACAACTGAATTCCCACTTGAAATATAAAAACCTCATTGGCTATCCCATCACACCGAACTTCAAAGTCGATCACTAAAGCTACATTCCACATGCATACATAACATCCAATCAAGTCTCAAGATCATCATCATCATCATCCAATGAAATAGTTATCTAACACCAATTAGAACTCTTCAATAAAATGACTCATATTCAAAAATCACTATTCATCATGAAGACTGATACAAAGTGATATGGGAGACAGAGATAAACTAGGCTTCCAATCGATGTTTAGTTCACATTCAATGATATCATTGGTAGTCAGATGGACGACGTCTCAATGCAATCTCCACTACACCCTGTCCTCACTCACATCTTGATGGCAAAACTCGAGAATGGATAACTTGAAGAAATAATCCCAGAACGCTATTTCTATAAAAGGCACATTGATGACACTTTTCTTATTTATCACGAAACATGTTCATTGGACAACCTGCTAACACGTTTCAATGATTGTCACCCACCCACTGTAGAAGAAGAGTTCAACTCAACCATCCACTCTCGAGATGTAATGCTAAGGAGAAGAGATGATGACTCAAATCAAAGGTCAATCTATCGAAAGCCAACCTGCATCCAACAGTTCACTAACGTCTATAATTCGATACCTCTCAGTTGCAGAAGACAAATCTCATTCACTCACTGTGTTCCACAATCTATGAAATTTGTTCAGAAGACATGGTGGATGTTGACATTGAGACTCTTGGAACAACACCATCGAATGACGGATATCCTAAGAGATTTATTGATAAGAATCAGAAGAAATGAATCACTTCTCATCCTATCACAGTTCATAAGAAAATCTTCATCATGAATTTGAAATTGAAAGAAGACAGTATAGTCGAAATGCTAAATAAACTGTTTGTCAAGGTGTATCAATAATAGCTTGTATGCTGCTTGACTCAGAATGATTTTGTCGAGCCGCCATCTGATTCCACAATGCGTGGAGGGTGGGCTACCACTTATGTCCACATATTTTTGTGTCTACGAATTCACACGCTCCTATGGACCTAGTTGTATTGGACACTGTAAGTGGACTCTCCGAAAACGTGTTGCTGAACATTACCCAGTTTGCATCACCAAAGGTGAATGAAGGAAGACTACTTCATCCATATATGAACACCTAAGTCATTCAGCACATCAAGATTCATCCTTCAAAGTAATTCAAAAAGTTCAGTTGAACTACTCCAAAGGTCCACTTTTCCACCACTGTTGCATAACTGAAGCATCAGCTATGCATGGACGAAAACCGAAACTGTTCATTCAAAAATGTTTTGTGAAATCACATTCGCCACCTCAGCCTTAAAAATTCCTTGTTGGTCACTTTTTTCAATTTCATTTCACTTCAATTTGCTACACTTCTCTCCTATTATCATCATTATCACCAATTTCCACTTCATTGACAACACTTCACCCATATTCCACTTGTTAGTATCAATTCGTTGCCTTATTCATTGACCTACTTTGCATGTTTCAGTTAAACTATCATCGTTTTACAACTCTTTGACATCACAAGTCTCTTATCTCATGACTTGTTATTCAGTGATCCATTTTCTATTTCTTCCACTTGAACAAATACCACCACCACCACCATCACCATCAACTATTGTATATTTTGTATATTGACTGAGCAAGTCTCCAGTGCAATTATCTGTCACTTTACCGAGTATAAATATGACTGTACAGTTTGATATGATGAAGTTGTTGAAAAGAAATGCTTCTTCTTCGCTGATACATCCCTTGTTCTTGTTAATGAATAAACCGGTATATTAAGTCAGTCAAAATCAGATTTTACTGATATGTATAATTTTGTTATGTGTTATAGTGTGCGATATGATTGTCCAGTTGTGGTTAAGAATCCGTAAATCACTGATGCCTGTTAACAACCAATCGAGAATATTTCGACGTTTCAAGACAAAGTACGTGGATCTACGTTTAAACATCGAATTGAACAGGGATTGAACCCACGATTTTCAGGTTGCGCTGCCAGCGCGTTACCACTGAGCTAGCCATTAGGTCAGAATCCAATGCTCCATATTTCCAACTTCTGTTAGCTCACGATATAGCGCAACCGCCACCCAATGTCATCGTTGAGTATCTGTCCTCACGGCCATTAATCAGTCTTTGAGTCCACCGATCACGACTTCTCATTGGAACCAATGAGCAGAAGTTGGAAATATGGAGCATTGGATTCTGACCCAGTGGCTAGCTCAGTGGTAACGCGCTGGCCGCGGAAACTGAAGGTCGCGGGTTCGATCCCTGGAGGGCGGGGTCGTGTGTGCGCACTGCTGAGGAGTCCCATACTAGTTGGACGAAACAGCCAGCTGTCCAGTGCTCCTAGGTTTCTTTTGTTCCTACAACTGATGTCAGTCTACGATGAATAACAACTTGAATACTCTATAATGTCAGTTACATCTACGACTTTTGAAACCACAATATATCATCAGTTGGTTTAGATTTGAAACCTCAGTCTACGATTCTAGATGGTTAAAATGAAAATCAACATCTTAGATCATTGGCCAGTCGCATAGAAACGATTGGTTTTTAAATTTTGATTTATGCTGCTATACAATCAGGATAAATCTTATTGGACAACTTTAAACTTTAGGGAACTAATCACGATGAGCCACTTTATCTTTAACCAATCAACTTTCAGGTTTGTAATAAAGTATAGTTGCTAGGAGGTGAATAGAAGATATTTGTCACAACCTATTCGTAACTCATCATTTGGGTGTACCTGCCTCCCAGTAGTGCCAAATGAACTCAGTGCAATCAATGATGAAGATTTACAAGCAATAACATCAGAACTGAGATAGCTACAATTGAAGACCACTATCCTTCCTAAAATCGGAAACCATAGAATCCGATTAACAAATTGTTAAAGGTACTTACAAGTAATCAATGTCTCGTTGATCACCCGAATACCATTACTGACATATTAGGAGATTTAGTTTTATGGTTAACTTGGGAAATTGATAAGTTGAGCTCTTGCCATCTGTGTGAATTAAATCGTATGATATCCCTTACCTTCCAATAACCGATGGTCTTACACTTGTAACTGTAAAATTATCAGTCCCTTAATACAAACCACTTAGTCATGCAAGGGTTTACTAATGTTCTAAATGTTGTGATCATTTCAGGTCCTAAGGATTTAATTTTTTAGCTTGTATTCATCTCGGACTAATATCAGCCAGGAAACGATTGAAAACATAGGAACACAACACAGCTGTTTCGTCTTAGTATGCCAGTCTTTAGTAATATACACCTAGTACCCGGATCAAGGATGGAACTCATTACCTTCATGTTCCACAGCGAATCCATTTAATAGGTCAAAGTTCAGTTGCCTAGTCTAGTAATTTTATCAGCTTACAAAATACTGTGACTATTTGCCATAGTCTTCAGTTGGTATCCAATTCACTTTCGACTGGTTGATCCTATAGGTCATAGCTTCTCTTTGGAACATTGGGATATCCATCTCGATATCCTTCACTAATTAAGCAGTAATGTAGCTTGAGGTTAATAAGGATTTAATTTCTAAGCTTGGTATAAAAATTACTTTTTGTTACTAATGTAAAGTCTCTTGATGTCGGCCTTCAAACACTTTTCACCACTAGAAAACTAAACATTGAGAGAAATTTTAAATAAAAAAAACCATTTCTCACCTGTATCATAATCTGATTCAAGGCAGCACTGTGTATATCAGGTGAATTATACCCAACATAATTATGAATACTCGTATTAAATATATCTCGACCAAATGTTGTCACCTGAAGCATAAAAAGTAAAATATATTATAAACATATCGGTTACACAAGTAAAGAGAAATATTCAAGGTTTAATTTCTAATTACTACTTATTGACATACTTGTAATCCCTCATTGTTTTACTGGAACAAATTGTTCTACCACTATTGGCATATGGGCATTTATGTGAATACCCCGATGTCGCCTGAATGTTGTTTATGATGATTTCGCTTGGTTGTGCCTAGCAGAAGAATCTAGGACACACGTTTCATCCTACTTGGGACTCGTCAGCTGGATGTACCTGCACCCCATTGTGGAGTGATATTGTTCCCACTGACAATCGAATTTCCTACCCATCGCTTCAAAGACCAAGGCGTTATCCATTATGCTACGAGGGCACAATAGTCACTCCTTGTACAAAGGGTAATGGTTATTACTATTTATTGATATACATGTGATTCTCCGTTGTTTTATTGGATCGATTTCTTCGATCTCTGAAGTGATGGGTACGAGGTTCGAGAGTCAGTGGGAACAACATCACTCCGAACTGGGGTACAGGTACATCCAGCTGAATAGTCTCAAATAGAAAGAAACGTGTATCCTGGATTCTTCTGCTAGGCACAACCAAGCAAAATCATTTGATTCCTAATGTTTATATTACATGATAACTTTGAACAGAAATCAAATGTCACAACTTGCTTCATTTTAAGTTGCTTTTTATCATGGACTGACATCACTTAAAGGAACTTTGGAAACCTAGGAGCACTGGAAAGCCGTCCCATCCCACTTGTATGGGAATCTTCAACAGTGCGCACCCTACGACCTTCAGGTTCCGTGACCAGCACGTTACCATCGTCCATATTTCCGACTTCTATCATTTCACGACATAGCGTGACCGCTACCCATTATCATCGTTGAGTATTTGTCCTCATGGCCACCAGGTTTTCCCTTTGATCACGACTTCTCATTGGAATTTCAGGAATCACTTCTCCAACCTAGTGATCAATGAGCACTAGTTCCATTGAATTTAGCGGTGTTGTAGGGATTTAGAGATATTTTAGGTTGTTTTTTTTATCATGGACTGATATCAGTCGGAGGAACAATGGAAACCTGGGGGCAGTGGACAACTGCTTCGTCCTGATGTGGGACTCTTCAGCAGTGTGCGGGGTCGTGGGTGCTCACTGATATCAGCCCATGATGAGAATGAATTTAAAATACCTCTAAGTCCCCACAATTATACAGAAGAAAGTGGAGATGGATTGGGCATACACTGAGAAGGCCGACTGGGGACATCACGTTCCAGGCCAGACCATCGAGTGGAACCCAGCTGGGAAGCGACGAGTTGTGCGTCCGAGGGTGACATGCAGGAGGTCGTGCGAGGAGGAAATGAGAGCTTCTGGGCTGTCGAGGAACCAGGTTCGAAAGATCTCAGAGAACAGAATTCACTGGAGACGTGCTACGGAAGCCCTATGTTCCACTAGGAACCCAAGGGAGTAATAATAATAATAATAAATCCCCACAAATCCCGAGATTCAATTGCCTCTTCTTGTTTGACTTATTAGATATGTGATCTGTTCATATCTGTCCGATAACTGATGAAACAGGCCAATTTAGCTCAAAAAAGGGAAGATTTAAATTATTATTATTATTATTATTATTATTATTATTTGTCCCTTGGGTTCTTAGTGGAACACAGGGCTTCAGTAGCACGTCACCATTGTACTCTCTTCTCTACAGTCGTTTGAACCTGGCTCCTTTATTGCCCATAACCTTTCTTTTCTTCCTCACACCATCTCCTCCATATCACTCTCGGACGCCCAACTTGTCGTTTCTTCTTTGGGTTCCACTCGGCGGCCTCGCCTGTAAAATCTACAAGGGTTGTAACTTTTTGGTGCTAATGAGAACCATAGAAAAGTACCTAACTTGTTCTTTATAGATTGTACTTTGTAGGATTTATCTTCTGGTAGGGACTAACATTAAGATATTCTCTTGGCATCTTCTCATAATCGGTTGTATTCATTACCATTGTGGTGTTTCCTTTGTCTACCCTCGTGATGATAATAACCTTATCATTGCATAAGTGCTTCATAGCAGAGTGTTCCTCCTTATTTGTGTTTGACTTATTAGGCTTCTGATGTAGTAGTGTGGTTGATATATATATATATATATATATATATATATATATATATATATAGAGAGAGAGAGAGAGAGAGAGAGAGAGAGAGTAACTGATATTTTCAGTGATATCACTGACCATCTAACATCCACCTTGACTTCCCTGACTGCAAAAGTAATGAAGTGTGACTGGAATTCAATGGAGTAACTCCATTAGAATGAATTGTTAGTCATTGAAAGGTTATCAATGTGAGTTGACTGTTTTTAGAAATTTATGAAGATAAGAAACATACGGTAGATGAAAGAGTATTCATATGTCTTTTTATCGTAAGATGATAAGTTAGCTAAAGGATTTACATTTCCATCATTAACTATTTCAATTAGTGATCACTGTCAGCATACTACCAACATCCCATAAGAAGTTTAGTTCTGAAGTATTCAGCTATCTATTTGCACACTTTAAAAAACCTGTTAACATTTTAATAATTTTAGCTAAATTGATCAAAGGTTGGTATATGATAATGGATTTCAGTAGTGTAGGGGTACTCCATTACAACTAGAAGGTGCTGGCTTTGAGTACAGCAATTTCAGTGTATCTTTCTTAACTTATCATGTTAAAAGTATTATTAACCGTTAAAATAAATCGGTATTACATATTTTAAGTCTTAGGGGGGACAAAATAACTCACTTGGAGCCAGCAGATGCATTCAGCTGATGAGTTTTGAAGGGGAAGAAATTCATGCTTTGGATTTCACCGTCTGTAACTAATTATCATTACTATCGAATCTTGGAGCTGTAGCTCACTAATCTAGGCTCTTCACTTTTGAATCAATAGGTCACAGGTTCGAAACTCTCTCAATCTACCGAGATCTACATCTAGATCTCCTGCTCAGTTAAGATAAAAACCTTTCAGAACGCACAAACATAAATTTATAAGTCTGATTGACTCATCGACATTTGTATGACAACATACTTCAAATTCAGTGGAAAGAGATACAAACAGATGAAAGGAACTCCAATGGGATCACCGATATTCGAACTAATTTCAGTAACAATGATACAGAGACTGGAAGCCATCATTCTACCTGTGATTAAAGCAAAAATTTGGATTGGCTATGTAGACGATACACTTATCATCATTAAAAAAGAGAACACTCACAGTTTGATCAACAACGTTTTCAATGACATCAAATTTACAATGAAGGAGTCAAATAACTAACTATTATTCCTCGATGCTTTAGTCAGTAGGAGGAATACCGGAAAGCTGGAAACCCAAGTGTACAGGAGGGGAAAACACGGTGACTGATCAAATCCTCAATTACAGTAGCAACAAGGCACAAAATCAGTTGCTTGCAGACTTTATTCAAAAGAGTCAAAACACACTCGGTGTCTATCCTAGAGAAGAACGCCTATCCGCGAAACTTTATCAGAAGATGCCTATCCTGTGCCTCATCAACATAAAGATGTATCAGAAATCACAAGATTACTGAGACCACTTGGAATTGGTGTGGTCACTCATCAACCAACAAATTCCCTCCAAACACTATTATCAAAACCATAGGATGCAACAATCAAACAAGACAAACCAAATATCATTTACAAAATCAACTGCAATAACTGTAGTCAACGCTACATTGAACAAAGTGGTCACCCTCTTTGCCTTGGTCTACACGAATACTAATTGACTAATAAACGTCACACAGGACATTTCATCACTCGTCGCTCAATCCACATGGATAACAACTATGGAGACATGAATTGAATTTCGACAATGTTGAGATATTGAACAGAGAGAGGAAACACAAAGAATATCAGAGAATTCCTCGAAGCTTGACATTCACGTCAGTCAGTCAGTCAATAGATGGATGTATAGACATAGACCGAATCAACCAACTAATAAGGAAAATGATAAACGGCAGAAAGGTGATAGGTGAAACAGAGGAACGGCCAACAGGAGAATCTGTGCAGTCAGTCACGAACAAGTTGGTCAGGGCAAGGCACTAAATCACTCATGGAGAGATATTGACACCTCACTTCATAGTGAAGTTAGTGTTGATGATGTCGCTGTCTAGAAAGATGATGAAGACTTCTCCACAATAAAACAACCCAGTTTGCATCTTTCACCTACTTAAAAGTATTGAAAGAATTTAGTAAGTATAATCAACTTACTATATCCGGTTTACAGTAATATACTGCGATGATGATTGTCTCAGGAACAAGAATTATAATATGCAATGTTAGATACTAAAAATAGTAAAAAAAAAATGAAAATCATGTGTTACTGGTATCATTTACGAAATTTTTGATTTCAAGGTGACAAAATAATAATAATTATTATTATATTACTACTTTTCCTTTGGGTTCCTAGTGGAAGATAAGGGCTTCAGTAGCACACCTCAATTGCACTCTCTTCTCTACAGTCTTTTCAACCTCTCTCCACGACTGCCCATAAGCTTTCATTTCTTCCTCATATCATCTCCATGTCAACCTCAGCTGGGATGCCTAACTTGTCGTTTCCCTTTTGGATTCCACTCGAGGGACTGGCCTGGCACATCATGTCCCCAGTCGGCCTTGTCAGTGTATGCCCAATCCATTTGAACAGTGAAATAAAAGCATTGACTTGACATTGGTGTTAAAAATAAAGATATTGTTCTTTGTGTTCAGTGTAGTGCAGTAGATCTCTACAATGACTTTAGATTAATGAAGGAAGGCCTATCTTGCTGTTTTTACGATCCTGGTTTTGAGATCCTTATCTCTCCCGCTACCTGTAGCTGAAACGATGCTGCCTAGGTAGGTAGGTGAAAAACACTACTTCCTTTAGATTTCTCCCGTTCATGGTGATTGGTGCTTGTTGTTCAAGCTGTTGTCGGTTGGGTATCTTTATCACCTCCGTCTTCTCTACATTCATCTGAAGTCCCGTTTTCGCTGCCCTGCCTCACCTCTTCTGTCAACTTGTTAGTTTTTGCCTGTAGATCTTCGAGTTTGTGCGACATTAAACATAAATCGTTGGCGAAATCCAAATCTTCTAGGATCTTCTCATCGGTCCAGCGTATACCCCTCTTCTCGCTCCTGACGGTTTGCTTTATGATCCAGTCGACCACATTGAGGAAGATGATTGCTGATAGTAGGTAGCAGCCTTGTCTTACTTCTGTCTTCACTTCGAGGGTGTCACTGAGATTTCCATTATGGATCACTTGGCATGTGGCATCATCACATAGCTGTTGAGTGACGTTGATAAATATTTGTGGTACTCCGTAGTGTTGAAGTTACTGCAAAATAACTTCTCGGTCGACGCTGTCGAAGGCCATTTCAAATTGGATGCAGTTGAGGTAGAGAGTTGACTAGCATTCTATACTCTGATTTATGATGTTCTTCCTGAAGCCAAACGGCCTATTCCGCTCATAATTTTGAGTCCAGCGCTTTTTTAGACTTTTCAGGATGATGTGGATCAATATTTTGGTTGGGGTGGGCCGAGGTGGGGCATGATTCCGTGCCAGCTCTTGCAAAGACCCAGGTAAGTATTCTGTGGAATTTTGTCAAGGTGGCCCTTCGGCAGGTACCTTTCCTTCCTTCCAAACCATCTGCAGTAGTGATGCCAGCATGTTCACTATTGTCTCCGCATCCGTTTTCAGTGCTTCTGGTGTAATTCCGCCTGGACCTTCAGCAGTTTTACGGCATTCAGGACTTCTGCCTTTGTCTGAGGGCCTGTGTCCACTTGTAGTTCTGCCGTTGCTGGTGGTATTTCTGGATGAGTTGGGGATCGTGGTGGTCGATTCAAGAGTTTTATTAAAGTGGTAAATCCATCGTTTCCTTTGTTTCTCTTCTTTGCTAAGCAGTTTTCCTTCACTATCTTTCATTAGTTTCGTCCGCGTTGATCGCTTCCCGGATAGTAACCTGGTTATTTGATACAATCTTGTCAGGTCTCTGTCTCTCCTACCTGCAGCCAGTTATGCTTCACTTGCCAATGTAACATATAAGTGTGTTTTGTCTTTGCGCACACTCTTTTTCACTTCTTTGCCCAGTGTAGTGTTTTCTATATTGTACTCAGTTCCTCTTTTCGTTGTGCATCCCTGTACTGCAGTGGTTAATCTTCTGCTTCACCATCCTCATCTCCCTTCTTTATCAGCTTCCATGTGTCCGTCGTGACCCATTCCTTGTCTTGTTTTCTCTTCTTTCCTAATACGATTATGCAGGTTTATTTCCACATGTCTTCCAAAGAGTTCCAGGGTTCTTCCACGCTCGGTCCTTCAGGAATGTTGCTTAATGTCTCTATTTTGTTCTGGTGACTGACTCACATGAAGATGTTCTTTGTCATTTCATCCTTCAGCTCCTGTTTTGTTCTGTTCTGGGTGTTCAACTTGAATTGTGGTCGTCTATCACTAAATTCTTTGAAGGCCTTCAAAGTGATGTTGAAGGTAGGTTCCTCGTACTAGATAGTGAGTAGTGTGAACCCACACCTGCTCCTCTTCTTGACCTTGTGTCAAGTAGTCTGCGTTTCCACTTTCTTCACATTCAGATGAAATCGATCTGATTTTTAGTGTAGTGTGTCCTGGTGTCTGGTGAAATCGAATCCATGTTTCTGCCTTGTGGATATCCTTGTGTTTGTACACAGTGCATCGCCTCCAATCACCAAATCGTTGAATGCACAGAATTCTGCAAACAATTCTCTATTCTCATTCACTTCACCGAGTGCCTCTCGACTCATGATGAGTTCTCTTCTTGTGTTGTCCACCCCCAGTTTGGCATTCATGTCACTCCGCCCATTAGAATTTTAATGTCGCCACTTGAAGTGAGGCCTTGTCCAGTGCTGATTGCAGCTGTCTGTAGAATTTCTCCTTCTTCTCCTCATCTGCATCATTTGTGTGTGCGTAGTATTGGCATTGTATGATTGTGACTTTCCTTCCTTTTGAGTTGAACCTTGTTGTCATGATCATGGAGGAGGAGATTGATTCCCACTGCATGAGAGTCTGCGATGCACGTGGGGACATCATGATAGCCACTCCATAACTCAGTGTGCTGGTGGTTGTCGTCTGGGTGACAACATCGGAGTAGATGATTGATTCTCCAGTTGACAGTTTGGAGAGTCCACTCCCATTCCATCTGCTTTCTCAAATTCCAAGCACTTCAGTGTGATACCTTGTCATCTCTTTTGCAATCTGGACGGCTTTACGGACATTCCATGTCCCCATTCTTACTTTCACTTTGGTCGAGTGAAGAGAAGACATGTCTGCTGACTGGCTTCCTGAAGGCTTTCACCAACTGGCATCATTTCGTTTCTCCGATTCCAGCAAGGAATAAGTTTGTTTTAATTTTTTTATAATTTCTTTGTGCTTTGTAGTTTCTTTAGCGACTGAATTGGTTTTACGGGGTAGAGTTGCTGGCCCTATTCACAATCGTCCCTCTTTACCCTGGTTTATGAATAGCTAATAAACTAGTGAACCAGTTAATCAGGTTAGGTTATACTAATTCTTTATCTGAAGTAAAACTCTCATCAATCAAAAATATTTTAGTCATATAGTCATTAACTGTGAGATAATTTCAGGTGAATAAAAATGTAACCAAGTTACAGTTGATCAACTTGTGAGTACTTCCTCACAAAAGTCACTAAGTGTGGTTAGCTGAGATTTAAACCGCGTCCCAGTCACCGAAATTCCTTTAATTGATAAATACACTAAAGGATTTTAAGGATACTTTTACGACTTTTTAGGAATAACATTTTGTCATAGAAAGGATATTAGTATTCATTGTCGATGTGATAATTCGTCAGTAAAATAGAGGGAATTTTTTCTCCTGTTGTTCAATGTCCAGATGACTGAGGTTGATTGAGACTTTAAGTGTATGGAAGATAAGGAATACGTGCATCTGTAATCTGAGAGTTCATTGGTTGTTTTGTCTTGGTGTAAATCTGCTATAACCAATAATACAATCTAACACAGTCTACAAGCGATACGAGCCTAGCTGAACCTAAGGCTTTAACGCAAATCAAAACGTCAACCACCACAACAACAATACAGTTGACAGAGATGTCGAATTCCCATCGAGTGTTATGATACAGCATAATAAAAATATATTCTGTCTCGACTTTCCAGCATATTATACGTAGGATTTTGCTATATACCCCTACTTTTGCATAGCTTTTGCCTGATGTTTTAACAATAACCTTAAAATATCCTATATGGCTGTTCTCACAGCGTTACTAGTTTCTCCTCCCCTCAGCTCTCAAGGCCATGTAGGATATTTTAAGGTTATTGTTAAAACATCAGGCAAAAGCTATGCAAAAGTAGGGGTATATAGCAAAATCCTACGTATAATATGCTGGAAAGTCGAGACAGAATATATTTTTATTATGCTGTATCATAACACTCGATGGGAATTCGACTTACATCACAGTTTATCAAGCCATTCAAAGGTGTTAGGTATATGAGACAGACAGAAAACTGTATGTAACACCAGTTAATGGGAAGAGTAGTATCAAGAAAGACTGAATGGTTTAATATCTTATTTGAAGACAGGAAATAAATTAAGTCAAATTAAATATCTCGTATTGCCGACTTTAAACCGTGCTGACATGAAAACTGGCTGCTAAATCAGTCCTCATTTTTTTCAAGTAGTATCCAAAGCTGCTGTTTTTATCTTTGCTCTAGCTATAGGCTGATGTCCAAGCGAATTCGTCACCGGGTGGGTAACTTACGAACCTGTCTAGTTATTATTGGGTAACACTGACTGCATTGCATGGATGGAGTAGGCAGCCAGATGGATTATCATGTGGTCACAAATATATACTCACACTTTCTAGTTCCATAGGGGGGTATGCTGTGGCCTCGACACCTTGGTAGTGAGGTATATGACTTGAGCATTGAGTAAGGCGGGTGCTAATCACCATGGTGAAATCAGTTTCCTCATGTCTGCGGATAATGTCTTGTTGATGTGCATCAACTCACATGAAACACAACTGCAGATCTCACATCGTAGATTTTCTGATTGCATTCAGGGAGTTGACAGTAAGTTAACCTGATAACATGAAAAATGAATAACCGTTTCCTTGATGTGTCATGTCTATTTGTCATTGTACATTCGCTTTGACTAGTGTTTTGTGAACTAGAAGATCAGGACCTTGATATTATTTCAATGTATATGTATGACTCACCGCTTAAAATAGTTGTTTGATAGTACAAGGGATTATGTCTTTAAGAAGTTTGATTCCTGAATGACAGTGACCAATTTAACACTGACTTGTGCATGTTTGGTCTTCTGATTTCTAAAAAATGCTGAGTGATGCATCGTTTTTCATTTTTTACACACATAAGATATACATCTCACTGTCAAGTCAGTTTATGTAATTAACTGAAAACCGAATGTTCCATAATGAAATAGGTGATTCTTCGAAGTTACAGTTAGATAATTAATTCATGTGTATTACTGCAGATTAGAAGAAGAGCTACCTAGTCAAACTCCTAAACAAAGGTGAACTAAGTATTTATAAGAACTGGCGCAGAATCATGCTCCACTTCTGTCCACCTCAAGCAAAATATTAAGCCGCATCATCCTGATGATAGTAAAATTGCTCTGCATTCAAAATTACTACCGGAACAGGCTGGTTAGCTTCTGGAAGAACAAATAATGTGAGGATCAAATTTTAACGTTATACTACTTATCATCATCATAGAACAGAGCATGGAATGGCAATCAACTCTCTACCTCAATTTCATCGACTTCAAAAAGGCCTTCCATCGTGGCGTCGGCCGAGAAGTAATTTGGCAGTTCTTTCAACACTACACAGTGAGTGCCACAAACCTTTATCACCTTCATTCAACAGCTGTATGCTATATGATGATGGTGATGATGCTACATGCCAAGTGATTCACAATACAAAGCTCAGTGATGCCTTCCAAGTGAACACAGGTTGACAGGTAAGACAAGAGAAGGTTGCCTACTATCACCGGTGATCTTCCTGATTTTGGTCGACTGGACTCAACTGAACTGGACTGGATCATGCAAGAAACTGTGAGGAGTGAGAATACGGGCGTACGCTGTTTGACCGATGAAAAGACCCTACACGATTTGCATTTCGCCCATTATGATTTATGCTGAATGTCTAATGTTGCACGAACTCGAAAATGTACAGGCGAAAGCTAACAAGTTGGCAGAAGAGTCAGAGAAGGGGCAGTGAAGACGGGACTTGCTTCAGGTGAAGGTGGAGAAGACAGAGATGATGAAGATACCCAACCAACAATAACAACAACGACAAGCATCAGTCACCATCAACAGGAGAAATATAAAAGAAGTTATCTCTTTCACCTGCCTACCTAAGCAGTATCGTTCCAACTACAGACGGTGGTGGTGGCGGTGGCATAGATGAGGATGTCAAACCCAGCATTGGAAAGACACCAAAACACACCTTCCCTCATTAATCTATGAAGATCAGTGTTGAGATCTACTACACTCCACTACACTCAGCATGGAGAGTGAACAAGATCTGGATTTCCAACACTAATATCAGTCAAGTCAGTACATCTATATGACGGTTGAGAGACTTGGCATCTTACGAAAAGCCCTTCCTTCCAACATACTGCAGGCATACATCACGAACAGCTGCCACCTACGCTCACTCCTTACTGAAGATCAGATCAGATGAGATGAGATCAGAAGGTGTCTCTGAGGTTAATCGATCACTTGAATATCAAAGTTCTAAGGAAAACAAATAAATAAGCATAAATAAGCATACAAAGTAATCGAACTTACAATGCAGACCATCCATCTAGATTTACAGCATGCTCCAATTAAACCGAGTAAACAAACAATAAACACAATGAGTCCAATAGCAAAAATGTAAACTCCAATAGGTTCTGTTAGATATTTTGTTTTGTAAAGTAAAAGAAAATATTAGGTCAGTTAAATGATTGATCATAACAATATGAATTAAGAAAGTATGTAAATATCAAATGACTTATCATCCATATAAAGTAGAGCTATTCGATAGATGTGTAAACAGAAAAAGCGATCAAGATGTACAAAATGAAAACTATACTATATCCTGAATGTTAATTATGTTAAATTGGTTGGTTGTGGCTAGCAGAAGAATCCAGCTTGACGCGTATTTTGTCCTAGTTGAGAGTCATCAGCTGGATGTACCTACAACCCAGTGATGTTGTTCCCGCTGGGACTCGAACCCCGTATCTATCGCTTCAAACGCCAAGGCATTTTCCATTATGTCACGGAGTAACGATAGCCACTTCTTGTACAACGGTTAGTACTCATTACTATTTATTGGCATACTTGTTATTCTCCGTTGTTATATTGGATTGAATTGTTCGACCATGGCGTTTGAAACGATTGGTACGAGGTTCGAATCTCAGTGGGAATAACATCACTGGGGTGCAGGTACATCCAGCTGATGAGTGAGTCCCAAATAGGACGAAACGCGCGTCAAGCTGGATTCTTCTGCTAGTCACAAACAACCAAATTACCATAATTAACATTCAGGCAATATGAAGGCATCGGCATAGAAGCCGATATGCCAAAAGAGTTAAGCATCCGGGGGTGACATGGAGAAGATTGTATGGGGAAGAAATCAAAGCTTATGGGTAGTGGTGGAGGCATGTTAAGAAGACTGTAGAGAAGAGAGTGACATGGTGATGTGCTAGTGAATTCCAATGTCCCACTAAGAACCCAAGGGACAAATAATGATAATGATAATAATAATAGGACCAATAAGTTATAGCGTCTTCTGATACAATGATTTATTCGTATGGGAATTATAAGCTCCCACAACTTTGCGACAGCACCTCATGTTCCGTTATTACCGATTCTATAGTGATCCTTATTGTTAATAAAATCTGCGCCTAATCTAAGATGAAATAAAGCAGATGCACTGACCAGTAGCAGGAGGGCGGAGTGTAGTAATTCATAAAAAACTTCAGTTGGGTAACAGTCATAAGAGTGCGACTAATAACGACAACACGAGTAGAAAGGAGATCACAACCTTCATTGTGTTACCCTAGAAGGCAGGAAGGTACATCAGAAACTTTACGTAGAATCCTCAACAGAGCTGGAATTAGGGTGGCATTTCAACCTACAATCTTACTCAGAGATAAACTTTGTCGACTGGTTTAAGCATCCGATAGAATCAATTGAGCAAGATAACCAAATCCATCATAATGACTGTTAGGTCAAGTACATAGGTCGAAGTAGTCGGTCGGTGTCAGTTAGAATAGCCGAACATAGGAATTTAGCTAAATATAAAATAACAGACCTAAATAAGATGAATAATCTGGGAAAAAACTCAGCTATTGCAATGCATGCATTATAAGACACAACCACACAATAGGATGGGTGGGATAACCCCACTGTTCTTAAGTCCAATGTAATTAGGTGGAGAAAGAGATTGATTACTGAATCTTTATTCATCGAATCAACACACAACACATGTAATAGGCATGATGCAACACATATCTGTACCAGAGATATGGAAAATTTTTGCTACCAATCAAAACAACTCATGTAAGGTGACATAACTACAAAGATTAAATGTCTACAGTTGTGTGATTACATTGAGATATGATTATAAGCAGTAATGAGTTATGCTCGAGACATCATCAAGTAAATAATACTAGATCATTGTGCGCTATATATCAAATAAACAAATTTAATATGGAGTTAGGTAAGTATCAAACAAACCTTCCTAAGTGTTAACTTTTAAAAGATATTCATAGATAAGTGATAAAGAATGCTTAGAATGAAAAAAACCATTCGATTAAATATCCTGAACAATGTAGGTCTTCTCATATTTCATCGTTGATCACCAGCTATTTTATCCTTCGAATTGTATCGCCTTTTACACTAAACAAACTATTGAAAACCTAGGAGAAAATGAGTATTACCTTCAAAATATCTTATAGAGTGATGCTTTATATATATAAATAATGTGTTTATGAACCTTCTTGTTATCCGTTTTTCAGGATAACAAGGATACTGAGCATCAATCTCATCTTCTATTGTACAGAGTTTAAGGATGATGATAATAATGTGACTTATTCAAATATAATTCATTTGACAGTTTTTCTTAAGACACTAATTGGTATCAAGTTATTATTTATCTCAGAGTTAAATCAGTTGAAGAACCATTGAAAAAGCGATTTTTTGGTAGTTCGCCCACGGGACCCCATGAGGGGATCTAACAGAATATGGAGAGTGAGAATAAATACCTCGTGATGACGTTCAACAAAGTAACAAAACTCAACTAACCATGAGTTCACAGTTATCTGAAATTCTTTCTTTTTCATGCATCTAACCGTCAATGGAGAATAAATCAACTTAAACTTTAACTAGAAGATTAACTTACGAATTTCTTCCAATAGTTTTGAAATGATTTTCATAACTTCTTTGCTAGTTGTCAAAGTGTTGATAGCATCGATAAAAGATGTAGTCAGTGAATTGTGTAGAGATTTTTCACCCCAAGTGTAAATACCAGAAATCACTGTAAAAAATGCAGCAATTATCTAGAAAGAAAAATTGGAAAGTTTAAATAAGTAAATGGGTAAAATGATCACAAAAAAAATTATGTTAAATCAGAGGAGAATTCAGCAATTTTTTGCTGTCTAGATTTCTTTTACTCATTACAGTTATCTCACTAAAACGACTGGTGGCAGCTGGAGTCCTGGCCAACTCCGAATGGTTTAAGCTTTAACCTACAGAAATGCAAGGTGATATGTATCTTCACATACCAGACGTGATGAAAATCAGCTACACTCTTAACAAATATCCAATCACCAAGGTATCAACAGACAAGGATCTAGGACTAAACTTTTTGAGACACTGGATATTACTGGCAGTTATAAAGGAATGGCAACGAAGACAAACGCCATTATGTACTTTCTAAGAAGGCAGCTTGGATTGTTAACCCCATAATTACTCCTTATGGTATTTAAAACCTATATTAGACCATAACTAGAGGTGATCAACACAATAGCCCCCCCAACCCCACTACTAAAGAGAGACGTAAATACTCTCGAGAAGGTACGAAGAAAAGCGACAAAGTTGGTTGTTGGACTAACAGGCAAAACATATGTGCAACGTCTCAGATAACTCAACATGTTCACACTAAGCTATCGAAGGAAACGAAGTGACCTGATAACAGCCTTCAAGATCATTCACCAAGTAAACCATCCAAATAGGCCAACGTTATCGGTTCAAAACCGACAGTCGCACTCTCATATCCCACCATAGTGCAAAGACGAGAGTAAGATCTAACTTCTTCTCCCATACAGTATGTGCCTTATGGAACGCGCTGCCGAAGGAAGTGGCCACAGCTACATCAGTTGACTCTTTCAAACGACTACTAGATGAGTATATGAGCGCAAACAGTTTACCACAAACATTTGTCGGTAGAAACTGATGATAAGCCCTTCCATCCCTGTATTCCCCTTGTATTCCCCAACCCTAGTATCTGCAGTAAAACGCACCTCTCCTCTATATTATTACCAGTCACATTTATCTTCTCTAATGTATGAAGTCTGTGACTGTTGGTTTCAGACATGTGGGACGATGCAGATTAGATGGTTCGGGTTCACACGACAAGAGGAATCAGTGGTTGGAGACTATTTGTAATCACATGCCTGAGAACCAATGTCACTGGCCCAGATGTATCCCCACACACATTATCCTCATCTCAACGACACTATACCGAATCTCACCATTTCGTCATTCCTCCTTTCTTGCTTCTCATACTTCATATCTCTTCTGACTGCATTCTCTTATATTCATCCTTCACATCACTACCTTTCTACTTGATGCAGTGTGATATGTGGTGTGGCAAGTTGGACCGTTACTCAGTAATGCCTGATCCCATGTTGATATTCATTGATTGACATCCAGCCAGCATCTACATCCATAAGTCTTCAGATTTTCAAAATGACTCTCAGTAAATACTTCATTCATGCATATATTGAACGTGGAAATGAATTCAACAAGCCTGATAGTATGAATCATGTTACATTGATAGATGAAGAGGAGAGTAACCCCCTTCACTAATCACCACGAAATAATAAATTATACAGATACTAGACGAGTTCGTCTTGATGAACACGATGAAGTGTTTGTTTGTTGACAGTTTACAACATTATGAAACATGTTTGATGCAATCCAACCCTTCTGAAACCAATTCCTATACAATATATATGTTGAAGAGACGTCCTCAAGGAGTAACATTGAAAGTTCAAGTGTAAACATCAACAATGATACAGATACTCAAAGGGATTCTCGTAACACCTGTACACATATTGAAAGTGATATTTGCGTTGTATGATAGCAGTTTAATATGTGAGAGACGATATTGGTGTTAGTGAGTAGCAGAAGAATTCAGGATGTATGTTTCGTTCTATTTTGGACTCACTGGTCAGCTGTATGTATCAGCACTGCAGTGTGGAGTGATGTTGTTTCCACTGAGATCGAGCAATTCGACCTTTTAAAGCAACGGGAAATTACAAGTATCATAACAAGACGATTTCTGTCCATCTGAAGAGAATGGACACGAGAAGTGTCTACAAGCTGGCTGAGCTATAGACATCACATCCACAGAACAGCAGGCAACTGGAAAACTCCACATTCACATGTCGCTCACAGTGCATCAGGCATTCTGAGACATATCATAGGGGTAGTATACTATGGTTTTGACCATCGTAATTTATTACATAGCAGAATACTTTAGCAATGAGAATAACTACTATTACTTTGGCTTAAACTGGATGCAAGATCTCAGGTTTTCATTGACAACATCGAGGCTTTCTTGCAACCAGAACCAAAAGAGTATGACAGCATTACATGCTGAAATGAGTCAGTATGTGCTTTAGAAGATACGTCCAAAAACTCCTTGCAACTTACAGAAAATTTATCTGGGAAACACGTAGTTGAGTAATAAACTCCAGAAACGCAGTAATCTCGGCGGTGAAAGATAAGCATATTAATTATTCAGGCGCTTCCAGATGGATATCAGGAAGCTCTAATGGGAAGCCGTGACCTGTGGAGTCAACCACTCGGAAGTGAAGTGAATGCTAACTGAAGACCTTGGGTGACAGTTACACTACATCGTGAATTGACAGAAGTTGGAAATTGTGAACCACTAGGAACTGACTCAGTGGCTGAGTGGTTAACGCGTTCGCCGTGAAACCTGAACGTCCTGAGTCCCATCCCTAGCTGAATTGTGGGTGCGTACTGCTGAGGGGTCCCATACTAGGGCGGAACAGCTGTCCAGTACTCCCAGACTTTCAATGGTTCCCCAACTTATGTCAGTCCATGATGAATACTACTTCTAAAATCATTTTTGTCAAATCAATACAGTACAACAGTAAAATCCGACTTCTGAAGTGGGTAGGAAACGATTCATTACTCTTCTTTAAAGTGTCAACAAATCATTCCTACCCCCTCATTACCAGCTTTCATAGATTCAATCCAGTGTCACAAAAAACAGATTCAGAAGTTCGCAAAGGACAACACGTCACAATACAGCAAAAAAATTACCAACCAATCAAAAAACAGCATTGTACTATCCATCTATATTTTAAAGAGGAAGTATTATAGTGTGGAATAATATAACTGAAATGCCTGAAGCTTCCTACAACCAATCACGTTACACCGAAAGTTCTAAGTCAAAGCCCTTGATCTAAAGTGTAAATAACAGATTGGTTGAAGAGAAGAAAATCAATAGGAAATTCAAAATTTGAAGTAGCCAATTCTCTTGTAAACACATTTAAGCCCTCATGTTTTGTACACATTTTGACGTAGCTACACACCATTTATCCAGAAATTAAGCAACCATCAACGGGTGAAATCTGAAGTTTATTTTTCAGTCACCCATCTGTATATAACTGAGGTTATATCAAGTAGTCACTACAAGTGGGGACTAGAGTCATAAAACTCTTCAGTGATTGTCTTCAACTACGCATTATTGAATAGGATACATCACAGAGCTGAATCACTTTGCTAAGCGGCTTGATTGGTATATTTTTTTGTAACACGTTCAGTAAACTTATGAGCGTATGTAAAATAGGTAACGAACCACACTGTTTGTGTGAGGGTGGCTGCGTAACACCTCAATAAGTGGAGACAGGCTCGAACCCATGACCCATTGGTTCGAAACCAAATACCTAAACCAGTGAACCATACAGCAAAAGATTGGTCATCATTACTAGAAGACTTAAGTCACTGGAAACCATTCAGAGTGACATGTTGACTTCACCAGCCAAATCAAAATGATCTAAACAGCGTATATCCGTTACGTTTCTTTTGATCGCAAGCTCATCAGTGGTGTACCCAGAAAATTCATCATATACAGAGTCTACTTGTTAGGGTTATGTGAATCTAGTTTGTTAGCCCACATACACCGGTATTATTATTATATTATTAGTCCCTTGGGTTCCTAGTGGAACATAGGGCTTCAGTAGCACGCCTCCAGTGACCTCTGTTCTCTGAGATCTTTTGAACCTGGTCCCACGACAGCCCAGAAGCTCTCATTTCCTGCTCGCACGACCTCCTCCATGTCACCCTCGGACGTCCAACTCGTCGCTTCCCATGGGGATTCCACTCGAGGGCCTGACGCGTGATGTCCTCAGTCGGCCTTCTCAGTGCATGGCCAATCCATCTCCACTTCTTCCTGCATATTTGTTGCGTGATAGGTTCTTGGTTGGTTCGTTCCCAGAGTTCCTTGTTGCTTATTTTTTCTGGCCATCTGATCTTCAGCAGCGAGCGTAAGCAGTTGTTGATGAATGTCTGTAGTTTATTGGAAATGCCTTTCGTGACGCGCCAAGTCTCTGAGCCATACAAGAGCACTGACTTGACGTTGGTGTTGAAAATCCGTATCTTGTTCCGCATGCTGAGTGCAGAAGATCTCCACACTGGTTTCAGGCTAATGAATGCCTGTCTTGCTTTTCCGATTCTGACTTTGACGTCCTCGTCCGTCCCGCCTGTAGTTGAAACAGTGCTTCCTAGATAAGTGAAGGAGGTTACTTCCTTCAAGTTTCTCCCGTTGACAGTGATTGGAGTTTGTTGTTGTTGTTGTTGTTGATGGTGGTGGTGCGGTATCTTCATCACTTCTGTCTTCTCTATATTCACCTGAAGTCCCGTCTTCGCTGCCTCTTCTATCAACTTGTTAGTTTTTGCCTGCAGATCTTCAAGTTTATGTGACATTAGGCATAAGTCATCGGCGAAATCCAAGTCTTCTAGGTTCTTTTCCGTCGTCCAGTGTATCCCCCTCTTCTCGCTGCCTACTGTTTGCTGCATGATCCAGTCCACCACAATCAGGAATATCATGGGGGATAGTAGGCAACCTTGTTTCACTCCTGTCTTCACTTCAAAGGCATCACTGAGCTTCCCATTGTGGATTACTTGGCATGTGGCATCTTCATATAGTTGTTGAATGAGGCGGATAAAGGTTTGCGGTACTCCGTAGTATTGAAGCAGTTTCCAAATTACTTCTCGGTCGACGCTGTCAAAGGCCTTCTCAAAG